TGATTTTCCCGGAGTGCAACTCTGATGATAGTTCCCTGTTCAAAAATCTTCAGTGGGGAGTGCCTGGGTGGCTCAGTTGGTTAAGCGACTGCCTTCAGCTCAGGTCATGATCCTGGAGTCCCGGGATCGAGTCCTGCATCGGGCTCCCTGCTCGGCGGGGAGCCTGCTTCTCACTCTCCCACTCCCCCTGCTTGTGCTCTCTCTCTCTGTCAAATAAATAAATAAAATCTTTAAAAAAAAAAATCTTCAATGGCTCCCCATTATCTAGGGAACTTAAGACAGGTCCTGCCATACAAGCCTCTCCACATCATGGCCCAGACTCCCAATTCAGCACCTGTCTCACACTGTGCTACAAACTTGATAACTTTCTGTTCATGAAACAAGGAACAGATATTTTACTTCATTTATTTTTTTGCCTTATTACCTTTCTCATATACTCTCCTTCTAGAATGTGTTTCTCCAGAAAGTTATCTTGTTGCAAGCCTACCCTTCCTTCAAAAACAATCTCAAGCATCACCAATTTATGAGGACTTTCCTGATGTGCTTCCACCATTCCCAACTAAATAGAAGAGCCCCCTCCCACTTTCAGCCTCTATAACATTTTTCTTAGCATTTATCAGCCTCTACCCTTCATTATGATCCAGTACAGTAGTCCCCCCTTATCTGCAGGGGACATGTTCTAAGACCCACTGTGGATGCCTGAAACCATGGATAGTACCAAACCCTATATACACTGTTTTTTTCCTATGCATACATACCCATGATAAAGATTAAGGTATAAATTAGGCACAGTAAGAGATTAACTACAATAAATAATAATAAAATAGAACAGTTGTAACAATATTCTGTAATAGAAGTTATGTGAATGTGGTCTTTCCCTCTCTCAAAATACCTTATTGTACTGTACTCACCCTTCTCCTTCTTGTGATGACGTAAGATGATAAAATGACTACATGATGAGGTAAAGTGAGGTGAATGACATAGGCATTGCGATGTAGCCCCAGGGTCCTACTGACCTGTCAGAAGTAGGCTCATCTGCTTCTGTACTATGGCTGACCACTGGTAACTGAAACCACAAAAAGCAAAACCACAGCTAAGGGGGGACTAGTGTGTGTTCATCTTACCAACCACGTTAGATTTCTTCGTTTTTATTTAAACTCCAGCTGTATTAGATTTTTTTATTCCTTAAAAATACAGACGCTTTAATGTATCCCTTGTACCTCAGTAGTGTTTGGTACACTGTTTTTTCACAATGGGTACTCAGTACATGTTTTCAATTGAACTGAAATGATTCCTACGCAAAATAATGAATTTACCGAGATGACCTGCCTTACACTTTTCATGTACTGCTGAAGGATAAGCAGGTGTTCACTAACGCTAATTTATTAATTGGTAATTTTAGTGATGCTGTGCTTGCTTCTGACCTTCACCCACATGGTCTCACGGACCAGAACGCTCCTTCTCCCCAGCCATTCAAACCATCGCGCTAACTCCTGCTGGGCCTTCAGGGCTCAGTCTGACCATCACTTTCTCCAGGAAGTCTTCCTAACCCCAAGTCTGGCTTCACAGGCGTGCAACCTGTGCGCTCCCACAAAGCCCAACACCTACAAGGGTGCCACAATTGGTGCCATGCTTTGCTGTCACCATCTTAAAATTCTTAATAGTTTTTTTTTTAAGATTTTTTTCATTTGAGAGAGAGCATGCATGAGCAAGGGGAGGAGCACGGGGGAAGCAGAGGGAGAGAATTCCAGGCAGATCCACACTGAGGGCAGAGCCCAATGCAGGATTTGCTCTCACAACCCTGAGATCATGACCTGAGCCGAAACCAGTGTGTCAGATGCTTAACCAATTGAGCCACCCAGGTGCCTCTTCACAGTTTTTCAACAAGGGCCCGCATTTTTACTTTGCACTCGACTCCTCAAAGGGAGTGAGCAGTCCTGCCTAACCCCTTCTCTCCTATATACTCCTGTCATCCCCTGTATTTTCCCAATCTTTGCAATCATCACTCAGAATCTTAATTTTCTGTTTACTCTTGTTCAATGTTTATTTACTTAATATTATTTTATTTAAACTGAATTAATATAAATTAAAATAATTTAATAAATTTCATATTTATTTAATTTTCTGTTTACTACTCTGTATACCTCAATAGACCCTAAACGCTGTCAAGGCAAAAAAAATGACTCAGCCCTGTATTATATACTTAATCAGTATTTGCTGATTGGCTAAATGGATGAGTGGTTGAGGAAAGGAGGAATTAGTGAATTAATGAATGTATTTGTCTATGCATAGCCCTTTGGGCAGCCTGAACAATGGAGGCCTTTGGCTTGCTGTCTTCAGATGGCCCCGTATAGACGTAACAGAATTCTAGTACAGAAACTACTCTTGTTAGTAAACAGTGTAAAATTTCAAGAAAGAAAAGGGGCAAAGTAGTGACATGAAGGAAAAAATTTAAGCAACACCCAAATATTAGTGAAGAAGGAACTAGCAAAAGGACTCATGATTATTATAGTCCTGTTTTAAACACAAACATAGAGATCATGAACATACCACTGGGATGCTCTTGGAGGAAGAAGATGTCTTAGTCATTAAGTAATGCCCTGCTTGCTTTTCCTAATGGTTTCTGGTAAGCCTGGAAAAGGAGAGCATACCTAGATAACAGCTACTCACAAAGAGGGGAAACGTCTATGGCCGTCTTTACCTGATGCCACATCCTCCTCCTAACTATCTGAGTGATCCCTGAATTTCATTTTCTCATTAGTAGTTTGGGGCTTTGTAGGTGCACTGGAATGCCATTTCCGGCTTACAATTTCCATTCCATTAAGGCCAACTCAAAGTATAATCCAAAGTATCCTGAATTGTTAGATGCATGAGTCAAAAGTATAGTGAGCAGTTATTAACGACGTATTCTAGATTTTTTTCATTTGTAGACTCCTTTTCCTTGGAGACTTCGTCTATTTGAAATGATAATTACTTCCCTCTCAGTTTGAAGAGATAGAGAAGTATCCCCAAAGGTCTTGCAGAATCAACAATGTTACTGCCATTCTCATCTATTCAGTTCATTCAGCAACACTGGGCAGCAGCTCAAGGGCAAACAGTGCTAAACCCTCTTTCTGCTACACAGCCTTGGATGAGTTATAAAATGGTCTTAATTCTCAGTTTTCATATCTGTAAAATGGGAATAATCATATTTCTACTCCATAAATTTGTGAGGATAACATGGATAATGCATATGAAAGTGCTTAGCACCATGTCCATGTTAGTAATTATTATCAACATATAGAACATAAGCAGTTATGAACTTCCACTTGGTTCTGTGTTGGAATAGATATAAAGAAATAAGGAGTACATGGTATTGGTTAAGGGTCCACAAACTTCTCCTCTAAAAGGGTCAGTGAGTACATATTTTAGTCTTGTGTACCATATTGTTCTGCCACGACTATTTAGTTCTGCAGCTGTAGCATGAAAGCGGCCATAGACAAGATGTAAGCAAATGGGTGTAGCTATGTGACAATAAAACTTTATTTACAAAAACAGGCTTTAGGGGCCAGGTTTTTTCCCTAGGCCATAATTTACCAATCCCTGGCTATAGGTCCTTGGGAGCTCCCAGTCAAGTGTGGTAGAAAGACTTGGATGACGTGTCAGGGCAAGCCTAAGGAGGCAGAGATTAACTCCAGCGCCATACAAATGAATGTGGAAACTGATGTTTTAGGGGAGATTACTGTATGAGCTTCCTGGAAATACGTAAAAGTAAAAAGTATGTCCTAGAGCTCAGGTATTGGTTGTTTTTTTTAAGGTTTTATTTATTTATTTGAAAGAGTGAGAGTGCATGAGTGGGGGGTTGGGGGAGGAGCAGAGGGAGAGGAACAAACAGACTCTGTGCTGAGAACGGAGCCCGATGTGGGGCTCAATCCCATGACCCTAAGATCCTGAGATCACTACCTGAGCCAATACCAATAGTCCGTCGCTTAACCAACTGAGCCACCCAGGTGCCACTGTTTGTTTGTTTTTTAATCTTGCATTTTAGGATAAGTAACTTCAACCTAAAACACAGCCTTCTCTTTTTATTAGACATTTTCCTTGGGAACTCAGCTCCGCACTCCCAGATCCTGAGAGTACCATAATTTGGGGAATAAAAATGTCTGTAGATTGGTAGAAAATTCTGCCCCTCACTTCTGCTCCCTAGCACTGTAGTATGAATAGACAGAGCTGAGGGGTCATCTCTTTTAGCAGTTTGCTGGGAAATGGAAAGTACATGGGGAGCAGAAGAAATCGTTCCCTTCCTTTTCTGTTCTTATTAATATTATAAAGGAATGACAAGCAAGTATCCATGAGCAAAATTAGACTGTGAAAATGAGCCAGTGGCTTAGTAACAGCCACTTAGAACATTTGATGGGTCACCAGCACTGCCGAATGTGAGGTAGATTCTGCTTCTTTGATAAGAGAACAGCTGTGGCATGTGCTCCCAGGGTAGGAAAGCAAGAACACACTTTCGGGGCCTTTCTCCCCTCTTATGAGAGGATTTATGGAAAGTTCACACATTCTCAAATGCAGACGCTTAAATATGGCAAGCAACACAGACGCAACATTCTCTTCATCGATGAAGTTGTAAAGGAACTCCATGTGCACAATACATTGTATTTACACATAGAGAGAGAGAGAGAGAGAGGAAGGGGGGGTGGGCAGAGGGAGAGGGAGAGAGAGAATTTTAAGCGGGCTCTGGGCCCAGGGCAGAGCCCAACACAGGGCTCAATCTCAGGACCCTGAGATCAAGACCTGAGCTGAAATCAAGAGTCGGATGATTAACCGACTGAGCTACCCAGACGCCCCCATATTATATTTTGATATTCAAAATGGCTAGTCCCTTACGAGGCTTTTATGATTTAATCAGTGCCAATTCAAATGGGTCTGGTGCTTTAAACTATAGAAACAAGAAATGAAGTCTGTCATGATAAGGCAAGGTTCTTATCAGATTTCTCTTTTTTGTTGTTGTTTTACAGTTTTCTCCTTGTCTTTGGTTGCTTGATTTTGTCAGTGTTTTCCACCATCCCTGAGCACACAAAATTGGCCTCAAGTTGCCTCTTGATTCTGGTAAGTGATACATATGAGCAAAAATGTACATAAAGTTTGTATAAGAACTGTCTATAACATTTATGCTATGCATTGTATCCCACAAAAAGTTCTATCTAGAAAAGAAGAGAGTTGCTGTGAAGTATAAAACTCTCAAAGATCACTGAAATATTGGCCTGCCATTTTAACATTTAGTCAGTCCTCAGAAATATATACAGATATTCAGTGTTACTATTACATAGCAATATCTTATGTTATAGTTACATCAAAAATAGAAGGCAGGACTTGGAAGCAGTTTTACTTATGTTTATCTATGGTAATAAACAAATTATAAGAATCAATATCCATGAGGTCTCTCATAATATTGCTCAAAGTCACAGAATAGAGAGCATTTTCCAATAACTGCAATTTGGCAGTAGGTCAGTGTAATTAGCCCAGAACTACAAGAATATAGCACCTCATAAGAAAACAGAAGGCTCCTTCATGCTCTTTTCAACCAACAGACTATTTTATGAGTTTTGCTGCTAATGCAGTTACCTGCCTGGTAAGAAATTCTGCAGTTAGCTCTGCTTCCATTATGCTGTCAATCCTCAACCACACAGAATTGCTCAATTCATTTCAAAATGGAAAAAGACCCCAAGATATTTTAGTCTGAATTATTCTGGGCCTTTTAAGCTCTTTTACTTTCTATTACAACTAAACTATATCACTGTATACTCAGATCCCATCTGATTGAAAGTTTGGTTCATTTATATCCATTTTTGATCCACTCACTTAGTGCAAAAACATCAGACTTGACAGTCTCAGAACTGTCTGAATGTACTATAAGTTGAAACGATTCGCTTCTGTAAAACCTGGTGGACTACAGAGGAGGAGAGAGAAAGGGTATGGGGGGAAGCTGGCTTCTGTGCCCTAATAAAGAGATGTTGGTTATGTACAGCAATAAGCATTTAATATAAGAAAAGTATTCTTACCTTGAAGGTGAAACTGAAAGATCTCAACTCATGTAACCTGAGCTGAGAGCAGCTGTTCTTCCTACCTATGCTTTCAGATGGCTAGTTTGTGCTTGAAGTTACTAAGACTTCATCAAGTCTCTGTCCTACATCAGGGAGAAATCACTTCTGAGCCTGGAACAAATCTATCCCAATTTGTTTCCATACAAATTGTGCTCAGCGGTATACTGTTAATGTTAAGGTTACTATTTTGAAACCCAGCGTAGAAAACAGACCAAAAAGCACACTGGGAATTTGTTTCACTTATGAGGTTTCCATTTGGGTAGCAAGTGGGCTTTTAGCCTCATGTACCCCTTTGGTAACAACAAATGACCTTGAGCCCAGGGTCTAAGGCACAGCTGGCTTTTGGGTTCATACACAGAATTACAACTGGGAATTTTTGATTGAAAAAGTAAATCTGACTTCTAGACTCGGAAACATGAGAAACTGGATCTACTGCAAGACCAGTGATATCTATTATGAATGAATCAAGCATTAAGAATCCCATAAAAAGGAATTTTTCATGACCAGGTCAAGAATTCAAAATGTTAGGTTTACATACTTCAAATCTCTGAAATATAAATTCCTCCATTGCTAACGAGTTTCTAAATAGTCTAAATAGACATTACTAATGAGTTTCTAAATATGTTATTAAAAAGCCCAAGGTTGATTCATATCTTGATTTTTAAAACTTTTTGAGCAGTGAACAGTTCATTACAGTTTAGTAACTAGGGTACATTTGAGTAGATAATGTAGATGTTGTCACATATCCCTCAGCTGGATTTTTTTGTTGTTTGCCAACTTTATTGAGATATAATTGACATATAACATTGTGTAAATTTAAGGTGTATCATTTGATGATGTTATATATGTATATATGCAAAATGATTGATTGTCTCACATAGTTACCATTTTGTGTGTGTGTGGTAAGAATTTCTAAGACATTCTCTCTTAGTAGTTTTCAAGTATACACTACACTATCTCTAACTATAGTCACAATGCTGTATGTTAGATCCTCGGAACTGGTTTGTCTTATAACTTCGAGCTTGCATCCTCTGACCACCTTCACCCTTACCCCACCCCCACCCCACGCCCTCCCTGCAACCATCAGTCTACTCTGTTTCTATGAGTTCAGGGTTTTTTGTTTTTTAGATTTTACATATGAGACCATGCAGTATTTGTCTTTCTCTGTCTGACTTATCTCACTAAGCCTAAGGCCCTCAAGGTCCATCCATGTTGTCACAAATGGCAAGATTTCCTTCTTTTTATGGCTGAATAATATTCCATTGTGTGTATGTATACGGTGATTCTACTTCCTTCAGATACATACCCACAAGTGAGATTGCTGGATCATAGGGTAGTTCTATTTTTAATTTTTTTCAGGAACCTCCATACTGTTTTCCACAGTGGCTGTACCAGTTTGCTTTCCCATCAACAGTACGCAGTGGTTCCCTTTTCTCCCCAACCTCCCCAGCATTTGTTACCTCTTGTCTTTTTTATACTAGCCATTCTAACAGGTGTGAGGTGATACCTCACTGTGGGTTTGATTTGCATTTCGCCAGCGATCAGTGATGCTAAGCACCTTTTCCTGTACCTGTTGGCCATTGGTGTCTCTTCTTTCCTCTCTTAGTCTTGAATGCCTTTGGATTTAGCAAAGTAGAAACCAGTCCCATTATGCAAATGAGGCCCTTGTTTTGAGCAATACAGTGATTACTGCAGATACACGTTCTCAGAAAGGTTGCTATGCTTCCATAAGAAGAGCTCTTGCTTATCCTCCTGTTGTTGTGCTATGGGGATAAATGGTCAAGGTGTATGTTTTAAACCAAAGTGTATTCTTAAAACCTACCTAGAAATATGCAGGCTGTGTTGCAGGTCTAAGATTTCCCTGATGTTATTCTTCTTAATCAGTGTTTCGCCAAAAAGGATGTTTTATTTAAAAGTCTCATGCTCTCCTGACTGAGCTAGCCAGGCAAATGCTAAGAAAAAAAAAATTATGCTTTATGTAGACAAAAAAAAAAAAAATTCAAGTCTAGGCTTTGCTTTTATTTTCTTATTTAGCAGTTAATAAATTGGAAAAGCATGCATATTTTAATTCTTTTTCATAATTAGCGTATCATAAAAGTTCAGTCAGCTGTAGAATATTGGGAAAAAAACAAGAGATATCTTAATGGTTTAGGGAATCTTAGTTATTCTTTTAATGTGTATGTTTGAGACAGTTAATCTGATTTCAAAGTCCGTCTTCTGAATATCTAATCAAACAGAATTCATAGAACACAATTCTGACAAGCAATGTTTTTAGTGAACATTTTATGAAGCATATCTAAAGAATTGCCATCCAAATAGTAATATGAATGGCTTTTAAAATGTTTGCAAAAATTTATAATAATGTCACTTTTGTACACTTTTGGCCACAAACAAAACACCAGAGAAATAAATTTAGAGGAACTGTATATAAATGATACGTCAAGATTATGTATTTTTTCATAGCTCTGTCCCATGTGTTTTTGTTTTTTTTTTTTTACATTTTAAAAGATGTCCCTATATTCTAACTGTAATTCCATTTCTGTGCAAATAGCGGGCGCCCACACTGACAGGGAGCACACAACAGGCAAACTGGCTCCTAGACAAACTTTCCAGGCCCCCTGTGACACTCATACCTTCCAGCATACTAGGGGCAGGCCATTGTTTCGGACTTGGTCTTGCCCACCTCCTGGAGTTCCCATGGAGTCTTCAGCTCTCCTTCCTCACCCCAAGGGAAGAGACCTTGTCATTCTCATCTAGAATCACACTCCCAGGGCTACTTAGATACTTGTAAATTACTTGCCTTGGTTACAAGCCAAATGGATATGTTGGGGTTTTGGAATATAGGTGAGGTTCGGTGGGGTAGAGTCTGGAGCCCACAACCAAGGAAGAATTCTGGAGACGTCTTTGGTGCAAAATGGTGATTTTTAAAGCACAGGGACAGGACCCGTGGGCAGAAAGAGCTGCTGCTGCGGGGTTGTGAGGGGTGGCTAATTATATACTTAGGAGTTGGGGGAGGTAAGGAAAAGGGAGGTTTCGAAAGAACTTTCATATGCTAAAGAAGCCTCCTAAGATACCAGAGGCCTTGCCTTTGTCAAGTTAAGGTTGTTTTTCCTTCTAGCAAGACATTAACATGAAGATAGTTGGGAGCTTTCCTGGAGAAACGTAACTCTGCCAGCTTCATGTATCTGTCAATGGGCTGCAGGTTATAAGGACAATTTAATTGTACTACGTTTCCTTCTGGAAGATAGGTTATTGATAGAAATGCTTTTGTTCTTGTAAATTGCTAAGACTTTTGTAAACTGAGGAAGACTCATGCCCTGCGTACTGTGATCTCTATAAATTAACCATTTGTTTTTCCTTTCCTTAGCTTCAGGGCACCAGGAGTGCCTGAGGAATGTCACACATATCCCATGGGGGGGTGCGGGGGGCATTGTGAGGTGTCAGCTCCTGCTTTGTCCCCAGCCTGCCTTCAGCTTGCCTTGGGCTCCCTCATCAGATACACACAAATTCTGTGGGAATTTGCTGTTTTATTCTTCTCAGTTGTGCGACCTGGGATTTCATACTATACACCAGGTGTTCCCTTGTTTCTCTCCACAGAAACAGTGGGGCACAGACTTGAGAACGTGATCTAGACTCTAGAGCTGGGTACGATGAGTTCAAATTCCACTTCTACCACTTTTTTATATGTGTGCCTTTGGGAAACCACTCTTCTGTCTTCGTTTTCTCATCTGTTAAAAGTGGAGAATAACACAGCCTACTTCATAAAATTGTGAGGATTAGCTAAGTTCAAGTGCTTCGAACAGGGCTCAGCACAGGGAAAGTTGGCAAATATTATAATCACTGGTTCTTCCATATGTAATGAAGCCTAATAAGGACAGTGAACAGGAGAATATTTGAAAATGCTCCATCTGAGAAAATATCACACTTTTCTAATAGAAAACAAGTATCTTTGCTAGAATTTTCTCACCACAAACACTGCTAATTATGGCAGCTCTCTTTTTTTTA